TGTGCTCTTCCGATCTCCCCAAAACCCCAAAACCCCAAAACCCCGTTTAATTGATTATAACTTCGTAGAAAAATAAAATTAGTAAATTCCAAATAAATTAGTACATATTTTTGGGTTTGGATTCTAAACTCACGTCATGATCTTATTTATGTTAGTTCTGATATCAATGATAATATTTTTAATCTAAGTTCTGCCATCGATGGGCTTTTCTAAAGCTACCTAGGGCAAGCCTAAATTGTTTTCTCTTCTGTGATATTCATTCTTCGTTTCTCTTATTTTTATAGGCTTATCAGATTTCTATTTTTCTTTGATTGGGGAAGCAGCAGCAAGCTTTAAGCTCTTGTGTGTTTAATAATTTACAGTATCGTTTTTATTGGTCTCATCATGATGATTATGAATGTTTTCAGAAGGACTTCGAGTCCATTTCGATTTTGTGAGATTGAGAAGTTATTACGTTGAAAGTTTCTTTAAATAGTCTAGCTTTCTATGAGATTTTCTATTAGATTTAGAGGGTTTTTCATCCTTCTTGTCATTAAGAAAGGAGTCAAAGTCATCATTACTAGAGTCTTAATCCATTCCACCACCGATTGCTTCTTCCAAAGTCAAATTTTTAATAATCTTGTGGACTGGGTGTGGCTTGAAAATCAGTGTTGGAAGGTGGTTTTAAACCACAGCTGTGGGATTATATGTTCCCAGACATGGTTTCTGGTCATGGACACTTGCTGCAAGCATATCAGATTTATAGTGATTCAGCTTTGGCTAATTTTTCTTCCTCTTTCTTGATTAGTCATATAGCTATTTCTTCAGTTTTTGATAACTTTCCATCATCAATTAACGGCCTTTATGAGCCTTTTTGGGCACACCATTATCATTAAGATTATTCTCATACTCTTATGGATGATGTTATGTTACTTACTATACATTATGTGGACTTGAAAGGCCAGATCTATTGAGATCCTTTTCCTTTTAGGCATATGAATCTATTTATTAGTGCTTTATCTTAAAGTAACTAAAATTAAAGTTGCTCATGTTTGTTCTGGCCACTGAGATTGAAACATTGTTGCTTGTTGGATTATCAGTCTAAGCAGAACCCAGCTTTTAAAAGTTCCTTGTTTTTTCTAGTTTGGAGTTGTCTAATTTCATCGAGATATGATGATCTAGCATTGCCCGATTGCTAGGCGAGAGATCATTAGTCGTCTCATTTAAGCTTTAAAATTATTCTGATTTCTCACCTACCTTAGACTAAATATTTTAGGAGTTAGGATTGCTGTTCTGAGCAGCCATACTTAGATTGTAGCTGATAGTATCTCTTAAATCAATCTTTGCTTAAGTATTCAACTTTTATGTGAGAACATCTAAAAATCTTTACGTTTGATTTAGACTGGGTAGCTTTCCTATTCTTAATTTAGGTTTAATGTTCTATGAATATTTATTACAAACAATATAACTTACGCTTTATATAAGATTTCCCATGCCATCCCTTTCTGTCACAAATGGCTTAAAATATATATCTTGAGATTATTTCCTCTTGTAGAAAGAGTTTTAAGTATTCGTTTATATAAACTCTTCATAATTAGTTGATGCCAATTTCTTCTTTCCAATGCCATCTTCAACCCTTTCTAAACTTGATTTTAGATCAAGATTATTTTTCTTTAGTAAATTAGGGACTTGATCAAACAGCCTTGATTACGTTGAAAGCATCTTATCTGTACTCAATGATTTCTTAAGTTCCTACTTTGATAAAATATACTTCTAATGCTGCAATATTTCATTAGATTTCCTTTCAATATGTATAAGATTAACGAAATCTTTGGGTCTTATGTCTTTAAGGTTAAAAACTTGATTGTAAGCTTATTTGATATCAGAGGGTGTTTCCCCATACATTGGATTTATAGGTATTTTTATTTATTGGTATGACTTCGATTATTGCATTTTCTAAAAACTCAGTAAATTATAATTATCGAATAATTATTGATATGTTTTTATTTCATTGATAAAAATTTCTTATGAATAGAGTTATTTGGGGTTTTGGGGTTTTGGGGTTTTGGGG